TTGATAGATATTCCTGGATTTAGTTACTGAAAACTAGTTACATTTTTATTGACATTTTGTGGCAGCACTTTGTATCACCAGTAAAACTATGGTCAAATACTTTATTGAGGATATTACAAAGGATACTAAAGTCAGTGAAACTTTGAATATATGGAACAAAATGGACAAATACAAAATCAAAGTTTTTGTTTGAACTTAAAAGTCCTTTCTAGTAAATACAGATTTAGTCCTGTTTGGTTTTATTAATGATGATTTAAATCCACAGTAAATAATTACACGTTCATTCTTTTTTGAAATATTTCTATTTTTCAGTTAATGGACATATATAAATATTTTGTCTTTGACCTATTCATTAATTTAGTAACATCTGACCTTTAGAGGTCTTCTGTCTTTCCTCTTTTCTCTCTCCCATTTTACCAGAACTTATATCACATTTAGGATCATAATGGAGGAAAAGAAACACAACACAATTTTTGTTGGAATACTTTATTTATTGTAGAAAACATCTTCATTCAAAACCTTTGTATATAATCTCAGGAATGTTTGTGAAAGAAAACAACAAAAATACATTTTAAAGTCTTTAAATTATTAGAAGACAGCCCTTAAATATTATTTTATCTTTCTTATATCTTTTATTCTTTGAGCTTTAATGCTTTTCTTGTTTAGGTCACGGACCCCAAACTCCTCCAGGGAATCGATCAGATGGAGTCTGATCGATTCCCGTCCTGAACATGTCGACTTGCCAATACTCAGTCGTACTCATAGCGCCCCCTACTGGAAACAGGAAGTTTTAAACTTCCTTGTGCTTCTCCTTGTCGACTGACCACATCCAGCTGAACTCTTCACACATTGACGATATGTTATGAACATTTCGTGGAACTCTGTTGCCGTGGTGATGCAGTAAATGCCAGTGTTTATTTTTTACATTTTCTCACAAATAGAAAACATGTTTCCTCCAACACACCGGCTGTGGCTCAGGAGGGTTGAGCAGAAATCTGACGGTTTGATCTCCGGCTCCTCCGGCTTTTTCCTCAGGTATCAGTTGTCATCAGCTGAAGATGTTTGTTACCTTTGAGGTAAAAAAGAAAGAAGACTGTCAGGTTCCACTCATATTATTACATTATAATCATATATATATTTATACATTAATCTGAACATGTGAAAAGACCCAAAGCAGAGAAACTGCACTCATGATTTCAGATTTAAAATTAAATTCTCATTTTAACTTCACTTAAAAATCCTTTTGTCGTCTTAGAAATATTAACAAAGTCAGACCTTTTGTAACTCAGAGAGCTGCTGAAATATTCACTCATGCTTTTAGTATTAATCGTTTACTACTGTAGTTCACTTTTTACTGGATTATAAGAAGTCTGTAATAAAAACACAACAGAATTTCAGAAAAATAATTGATTTTAAAGTTCTTTGACTCACGTCACAAAGTTTTAAATGACTTTAAAACACCAGAGATCTAGTTTCATTTCATTCTGCAGCCAGACCCCCTAAGGTTCTCCACTGCTTTTCTTTTCAATGTTCCTGATGTGTCCCATAAACGTTCAGGAGAGACTGCCGTCTGTTTTTATGGCCCTAAACTGTGGAACTGCCTCTGGATATAAGGATGGAAATCTCTCTCAGTACTGAAACCTGGAAATTAAAGACCTTTCTTTCTAATCCAGTTTTTAATTTGGAGTATTGTTATTGTTTATTTTCTATTGACTTTTATCTATTGATGTTTTACATTTGATTGTTTTTATTGTATTAAATATTAGTCTGAATTATGTGTTGTTCATTTTGATTTGTTATCCTTTGGGGTGCTGTTTGTCGAAAGGTGCTGTATGCAACTACTAGATTTTGAGTTGAGGTGGAGACTCACCTGCTTTCACTGTAGAGTATCATGGAGACATAGATGATGACAGAAGAATATGAACAGGCCACTACCATGGGCCATGCAATGGCAAAGGTGTAATCTGTGAGAAAAGAGGAACATTTATCATTTGAACTAACATTTATAAAGCAAACACGTGAGAATACTGAATTAAATAGGGCTGTAACGAGTGCTGAGAACAAAGAGAGTGAATCAGAAACATAAAAAGTCATTCTCTGATTGTTCTACACAGATGTTGTGAAGCTCAGTGTGATCGGCTCTAGCCATCAACATCTTGACCGACTCCCCACCTGTCACTCAAAGCGACCACAACCTTTATTATGCATAACTATAAACCTTAAAGCCTCTGAACACCCACACAGGTGTTTTCAGTTATTCTGGCTCAGGTTGAAGTTGGGCTGGAGCTTTAATGGACATTTATTACGTCACAATTCTCGATTCTTTAATAAGAACAATAAAGTGTAATTCGTCCCACTCTAAGAGATGCAACAAAGGAAGATATCAGTCAATGACAGTCTACACGCCCACACAGTCCCAAGAAGAGGTCTAATCAAAAATTAACTGCAAACACCTGTGTGGGTGTTCACAGGCTTTAATATAGTTTAAATGGGTGAATTATATGAAAATGTATTCCTGTACAGTTTGGTTCTAAAGCACAAATAAACATAGCCGCACTTCCACAAAAGAAGGCGGGAACTTCAAACTATTAATTACAACCCTCGATTTATGAGACTGATCAATTAATGCAAATTAGTTATTTATTATTATTACTTATTGATCTATTTTATTTTGTTCATCATCAAAACCTGAAAAATAAAAAACAAAAAACCGTCGTGCTGCACATCAAGGCGTCTGTGCTGTTCAGTAATAGGCAGCTCAGCTGTATGGTGACAGCGACTGGTACGTGGGTGTTGGTGAATGCAGAGCTGAGTTTGAGAGTGGAGTTGTTGCAGGACTCTTTAATGTTACTGGTGGAGAGGGGACGTGTGGCGAGCGACACAACTGACTCTGCAGGGAAGGTTTTGATTCGTTTCTAAACTGTAGGCATGGGTTCATGCATGCTCTGCACAGGAAAACACGGGACACACAGGACACTACAGACAGTTAATGAAGGTTGATACAAAGACATCACAGCTTGACAGGATTATTTATTGTCAAGTTATGTAGTACTAAGAAGAGATAATTATGTGAGAACGTCGTAATAATGAATAAGGTTCTAACTAGAGTTTGATCGGTTAATACCAGGTGATAGCCCTTTCAAGGGAGGAATTAAACAAACAGTGATAGAGCAGCCTTATGCTGCTTCTGTAAGGGTGTCTGTATAACTAGTGGGAGTTGTTCGCAAGTGCAGGCATATTTAAAACTCCACGTTTATAAGTAAAGTTTGAGTTCCAGCTGGACCGAAAGGGTTTGCTGGAAGTGAAATCTTCTCTCGCCGTCGAGGTTTACACCATGTGAATTGAACAAACATCTCTTATTTTGGCGGATCAGGTGGAGTTTTAAATGAGCTCTGATTCCACTGCTGCATCCAAGTCTGGCTGTTGTTGTAAGATCTGTGAGACGTTGCAGGAGATGAAGCACTTGTTTTAAGACGTTAATCTAAACAAAGGTACAGAGAACAGATACAGCATGTCTCACAGTGTGTTTTCAGTTTAACAAAAACAAACAGACCTTATACAAATGATTGTATCATCTCTTTCTTTACCTTGTTATGGAAAACCAGCACACAGAGCAGAAGCGACTGGATGGTCTATCATTCTTTGCGTTCAGTGGGAAAAAAAATTCTCCCGCAGAAGAGTGGAAATGAGTTTTCACTGTGAAGAGCGGAGACCCGCTATGAGAAGGTGGTCTGCATGTATGTGTGTATGTGACAGCTTACATTACACATCTGCAGCTGACACTGAGGCACAGCTGGGAGTAAATACCATCCAAATATGAACAATACTGACCATTATTGTTGTTGTTGGTATCATTAGTAACAGTTACTGTGTATACTCAAACAAATATTTTTACCATAATTCCTCTTTATTTTTAGCAACGAGACAATAACCTACTCAGCAGAATATCCAAAGACAATATAAGTTTTCAAAATCATTAAAAGTTTCAAGAAAGCAGACAGTAAATCATAGTTCACAACAACTCCCTATCACTGAGGCATTTTCAATGATGTTACAATAATCTGATGTACTGCTGCAGCGGACTGTAAAAGGGTTTCTACATTATATAAATATATAAATAAAAGTTTACTTAACTGGACTTACATCTATAGCATGCTGTACTTAAAACTGCTGTGTGGCTGTAAAAAGGAAAAAACAGACAAGCTGATCAGTTTCATTAATAACTAAACTATCAGCAGCATACAGTCTATGAAGACTACGAGGTCACAGCAGCAGCCATATGCCATTATCAGCTGTCCACCTTAAACTCTAAATATGAATTATTGAATCATTGAATAGGGAGCATTTATCACCTTTCTTCTCTGTTATATTTCCCCCACTGTAAGAAATGTTATAGTCAGTGATGTCTCAGCTATAGAAGAAGATTCACCATGTAAGGTGCTCAGAGGTGAAACTGCTTTACGACTTATTCAGAAAGAGTTTAATACCTGAAAGATAAAACACGACCTTCATTTGAATGAAGGCAGATTGATTCAGAGCTCAGTGTTACTTTGAATACTACAGTAAATGTTTGATAAATAAAAGTCTTTGTTGTCAATGTTTTTCTCTTTCAGTGAAACTGATGGAGGAATAATTGAATAAAATATTTCAGTGTGAATGTTGCTGGAACTTGTTGTTGACTTTACATTTGTCTGTAGCATTTCATTGACAACATTCACACAAGTTCATACAGCTCAGTTTAACACTTTCACACAGAACAACAGCGAAGCTGTCAGTATTATGGAGCTACAGAAAACAGGTGTTTCTGTTATTTAGCCTACTGTCTGATATAAATGGGGTGGACAAAATAATAGAAACATCTGTCAGTGAAACACAATTCAACAGCAGCACAAACCGCAGCCTCCAAAATGATCACACAGTTGAATAAACACCTCTCTAAAACAATTTCAACAGAATCTGAACATTATACCTTATGAAGGGAGGATTTATTAAAGGACTGCATTCATTTTAGGTGTACTAAATAAACTAGTAAATGACTGTATGACTGTTTTATCAAACCATTTTACAGTCTGTTGAATAGGTTATCATCTAGTTGCTCAAAATAAAGAGGAATTATGGTAGAAATGTTTGTTTGAGTATATAATACAGGACAACAAGGACATTGAACACAAGTAAAATCACAACATTAAGACATTATGTTTTAATTAAGTGAACAAAAATAAATAAATAAAAAATAAATAATAAATTGTTAAAACCATATTAACTAAGACAGTAGATCACGGAAATCATGAAGGACGTCCATGAAAATCATGCACAGGTTAATATTCCCAGTGTTTGACAGGGATTAGCACACTGATGCAAAACAGTATTAAACACACAGGCAGCAGTTACAACCATAGTTGTTATATCTTAAGGTAATAATAAATAACATTTATAAACACAAACACTGAACACTTTAGTGCGAAACAAATTACACATAATATGCAGACGGTAATATGTCTAATATGTCACATATTATGTCTAATTTTAACTTTATAGATCATATAAATGGTTATTTTGCAAAGAGTAAAAATAGAAGAGCCTTCATCTCCTCAAAGTGTGACAGAGAGAAGGACCGAAGAAGAGTCAGTGTTGAACAAACATTTATCAATGATTATTGGTATTATTAGTTATTATCTGAAAAGATCTCAGTCAGTCTTTACCGTATCAACTGTGAAGGGAGAGAGAGGGGATGACACAGAGCAAAGGGCCTGATGTTTTCTTTTGAGCCCAGCGAATGGCGATTGACTGCAACAACAAAACCACAAACGCAAAACGCCAAAGCGCAAACACAAAACAAACACAAACACAAACAAAGGCCACTACCATGAACAACACAATGATGAAAATGAAATCTGTGAAAAAAATAGGAAAATTAGTGACAAACACTCAACATTCATAAAGAAACTACAGATCAAAAGGTAATAATTGAGAACACTTAAAGGTTAACTTACTGAAATCAATGTGATCAGACCCAGATTCCTGAAACCTGAATAGCAAAAAAGACATGAGCTATAAAGT